ACTAGTTAACATTTTTTTATTTTTGATTATGAGATTTGAGCCACTAGTCAACTATTTTAGAGTTTGAATACATCAGAATATCCATGTTATTATTTTTTAATGCATATATCGATTGGTCTGCCATTGTTATATATATTATATTCAGCATGAGCTGTAAATTGTCTATATAGAATGTTTCAATCTTTGTGCCAAATAAAACAAATTAGTGTATCTTCAATGTTTTATTGTATTCACAATCACATAATGTTGACAGTTATTACAGTTTAAAAATGTTAAAAGAAAAGTTACACAATTAATCAGTTATTATATTAGTTTCATATATACAGTGATAATATATTATATATATATATATATATATATATATATATATATATATATATATATATATACATATACATACTATATATATATATATATATATATATATATATATATATATATATATATATATATATATATATTTCGGACAAGTGGTATTCAGAAGAGGACGAGTGGAAAGTCAGGTGTACTTGTCCTCCTGGATAAGTGAATTTTTTTTTTTTTTTTTCGCAGCCTGTAATAATAATAATAATAATAATAACAATAATGTTCAATGATAATAATAGTAATAATGCTAATGCTAATAATGAAATTAGTGATGATGATAATTATGATGATAATGGTAATAATAATGGTAATAATAATAACAGTAACAACAACAGTAATAACGATAGTAATAAATATAAGGTAATTAATAATTAATATTAAGTAAGAGTAATAACAATAAAAATGATATTCATGATATTAATAATCAAATTAATATTAAAAATATCAATATTGATAATGATAATGACAACAATAATGCTACAGAAAGTGAATCGATTGCTTCCTGTTAACATATGATATTTCTTTTGTACGGATGATGTTTACATATTTTCTCAGACTAAGAATGGGGGTATCGCCTAGCTGCGTCTGCCGTCGGTCTACATGCTGTATATTCCTGTGGTTAACTCTGTTAGCTAAGACCTGGGTAAGTAGGAATAATATAGATTGCCTTAACATAATCAGCGAATGAAACAAAAATCCATTTAAAGATGTTAGTTATGACAAATTTATTCAATAAGTGGATATTGTCAGGTCTGTGGTGGCGAAGCAAGAGATTCCTCACTGCCTCCAGCGTCACTGGTGAAAGGTATTGATAATTAATTTTTTAAAAGTCTCTCCCCCCCCCCCCTCTCTCTCTTTTTGTTTAAACTTTATTTCAAAAGTTATATGGTATTTAACCCATTCCCGACGAGCATGTCACGTACGTCAATTCCATGGCCACTGTGAGTTTACTTGTTTAATTGTTTTTCACATCGATGGCTACACTTGTACTAAGTCACCAATGAGCCAATTACGAGTACTACCTGTCTCGCCCGTTCACCCTTTTCTTTAATTTACGAAAATATTTTACGTTATCTTATTTTGTCATTACTAATGTTTATAACATTATAGTAATTATGATGTTTATGATAAAAGATAACACCATCGGTATTCGTAGCAATAGTAAAAAATACATTCTCCCGCCAATTCAAAGAAAGGTGAAATCAGGTCAGGCAGAGCCATCTATGTGTAGAGACATTTCACACACACACAATAAATAAATGAACATAGCATTTCCCCATTTTTTATTCCTTTTCCCTGGCGGCAATGGGTTAAAATATAGTTCATTTTGTTAATCTTAATCTTTGTTAATATTATAGGTGCTAAAATTTTCCAGTAAAGGTAAAGTGATCTTTAGCTTAAAACATATTTAGAAATCAATTCTGATAAAGGAGTTGGTCTAACTAAAAAAATACAAGTGGAAATTACTTTGCCTGGTTCATTTTGTAATCTTCAAGTATTAACTGCTGTGGTGAACAACTGTAATGTGTCGAGATAAAGCAGGTTAGTTAGTTAGTTTTAGCTAAAATGTTCCACATTCTAGAAAATCTAGGCAGGAAGTAGCGCAGATAGATCTCTGTTCTCGACAAGGGAACCTGGACTTCTTGGACTCGATTACTGGCGTTTCTTGTCCCGTACGTGGGTGCGTCTGCTGGTGGAAGTCGTAGCGATGTCAACGGGGAACGATTTTATATATGTATCTTGTAGAAGACGCAAAAGCCAGTCACACATCTCTTCGATGTTGAAAGGATTGAAAATGTGTTGGCGGTTCATTTACGGGCGTCTTCCGTTCCACTAGCCGCTGGGCTCTGTTCTGAACGGTGTTCAGGGGGGTAAGATGAGTTGGCGCCCAGGACAGCCAGGCGAGTGGCGAATACTCCATCAAAGACCGGACTTAGGATTTGTAAAGGACTGCGGATCCTTTGCTGTCTAGCACAGGGGCGATGCGTCGTATACAGGCCAACTTTCTTGCTGCGTTCTTTGCTAACTCGTGATTGGTGAAGGTTGGGTGATTATCAATCTGCACACCAAGAATGTTGATATCCTTGCTAATACTGATGGCTTCGTTATTTAGCTTTATGATGGATGCGAGGATGTTGTCCGGCGTCTGACATCTAGATATAATCTTTATTTAATTTATTTTATCCTTATTTCTCTTTGTGGGATGGCACTTATAATGGTTCCAGACTCACATCTTCTTGCCAGATGCCATTCTACAATTGTAGCTAAACCATGACTGATCCGTAACTTTTGTCTTGAATGTCTTGTTAGGTACATACATTGCCTGTAGGGTAACTAGTAATTTGGTAAGTAATTTGCTTGTCTGTCAATAGTGCCAGTG